GGGTTATTAAATATTGAAATAAATAATTAAATAAATAAAGAATAAATAGATTATTAAATTTTAAAGAAATAATAAAATAAATAAAGGATAAATTAATTAATTATTAAATTTTAAAGAAATAATAATGAAATAAATAAATGGATTATTAAATTTTGAAATAAATAATAAAATAAATAAAGGATAAATAAAGGGATTATTAAACTTGAAATAATGAAATGAATAAAGGATAAATAAATGTATTACTAAATTTGAAATAGATAATAAAGAATAAATGAATGGATTATTAATTTTGAAATAAATAATAAAATAAATAAAGGATACATTTATTATTAAATTTGAAAAAATAATAAAATAAAGAAATAAATAATTTTTAAAGAAATAAATGAAATTAAAATAAATGTTATTTATCCCCTCTTTGCCCTGCCTAAGGCCAAGTTTTGAAGGGAATTATCTGACAGGATTCCTCCAGCTGCAGAGCCCCAGAAAAGCCTGGATTGCACAAGGAACTCACAGCAACGCGTCAGCTCCTAAAAGTTTGAGGCCGGGAATAATTAAACCCCTGTTTCCATGTTTCCATGCCCAAAACCATTATTCCACCCTTGGAAAAACCTCCGGGGGAAATCACAAATCACCCCGGAGTTTATCCAGCCAGAAACGCAAACAGCTCCCGTTTTATAGAACGCAACAAACCCAATAAAATCCTGAATTTTTAACTCCTGGGAAAGTTTGAGCTGCTCCAATCCTCCCAAATTTGTGTTTCACATCCTCCCCTCGAACGCGAATTCATTCCAAGAACTCGCGGCCACTCCCAATCCCCCCCCCCCCGAAAAAAAAAATAATAAAAAAATATAAAATAAAATAAAAACAAAGCTAAACTTTCCATGGAAAACAAACCCCCAAACGCAGCCGTTTAACCCTTTAAATCCTTTCTGTGAGAGAACAAAAAGCAGCGCGGGGAGAGGAGCGGCGGCTCTCACCCCATCCCCGCCGGGAGCCGCTCCGCGATCCGCGCTCGCCTCCGGCTCCTTCTGCCCCTTCCTCTTTCTTTCTCTCCTTCTCCGGATCCGGATGCTCTTTAAATTTCCTCCGGAATTTCACTTTGAAGCCGCTGCTGCTGCTGCTGCTGCTGCTCCGCGGGGCGAGAACCGGCAGCGGTACCGGGAATGGGAGCGGTACCGGGAGCGGCTCCGGGATCGGGACCGGCTCCGGGATTGGCTCTGGGAGCGGCTCCGGGATCGGGAGCGGCTCTGGGAGCGGTACCGGGAATGGGCACGGGGATCGGGAGAGGCTCCGGGATCGGTACCGGGAGCGGCCCCGGGATCGGGAGAGGCTCCGGGATCGGTACCGGGAGCGGCCCCGGGATCGGGAGCGGCTCTGGGAGCGGTACCGGGAGCGGCCCCGGGATCGGGAGAGGCACCGGGACTGGGACCGGCACCGGGAGTGGCACCGGGATCGGCTCCGGGATCAGCACCGGGACCGGGATCGGCTCCAGGAGCGGCCCCGGGAGCGAGATCAGCACCGGGATCAGCCCCGGGATCGGGATCAGCCCCGGGATCGGGACCAGCCCCGGGATCGGGACCAGCCCCGGGATCGGGATCGGCTCCGGGAGCGGCCCCGGCGCTCCCGGCTCTGTCCCGGCGCTCCCTCCTCCCCTCCCCGGGCGCTGCACGGAGCCGGTTCCTCCCCGCGGTTCCTCCCCGAGCGCAGCCCCGCGGCTCCCGGAGCTCTTTGTTATCCCTGCCCGCTCCCTCCCCGCTCCAGCCGCCCCATCCCGCTCACCTCCGGCCGCTTCTCCCCTCCCGACTTTATTCCCGGTGCCGGCAGCACCACCTGCCGGGGACCGCGGGGCTCGGTGGCACCGGGTGGCACCGGTGACATCTGCTGACACCGGGGGGCTGGCACCGATGGGCGCTGCCCGCCGGCTCCTTGAGATTTTATCTTTATAACTTTCCAAATCCTGCTCTGCCCTTGGATCCTTGAGGTTTTCCCTTCTCTGGTTCCCAAATCCTGCTCTGCACCAGCTCCCAGCTCTAAACTCCGTCTGGAGCTGTGTCCGGAGCCGTGTCTGGAGCTGTGTCCGGAATTCTGGAATTGTGTCCGGAATTGTGTCTGGAGTTGTGTCCGGAATTCTGGAGCCATGTCTGGAGTTCTGGAATTGTGTCCGGAGTTCTGGAATTGTGTCCGGAATTGTGTCTGGAGTTGTGTCCGGAGCTGTGTCCGGAATTCTGGAGTAGTTTCTGGAGTTCTGGAATTGTGTCCGGAGTTCTGGAATTGTGTCCGCAGTTCTGGAATTGTGTCCGCAGTTCTGGAATTGTGTCTGGAGTTCTGGAATTGTGTCCGGAGTTCTGGAATTGTGTCTGCAGTTCTGGAATTGTGTCCGGAGTTCTGGAATTGTGTCCGGAGTTGTGTCCGGAGTTCTGGAATTGTGTCCGCAGTTCTGGAATTGTGTCTGGAGTTCTGGAATTGTGTCCGGAGTTCTGGAATTGTGTCTGGAGTTCTGGAATTGTGTCCGCAGTTCTGGAATTGTGTCCGGAGCTGTGTCCCGGTGTTTTGGGCAGACAAAACGACCCCGCTGTGATCCAAGGCCACCTCACCCCAACCAAAGCGGAGTTTTGGGGAGCAAGCTGGGGGAACGGGGCTTCATCCACTCGGAGGTGATTAATTAATCCATAATTAATTTGGTGATTGGTTAACCTGGGGGTTAATCAGGATTAAAGGCTGATTTTGTAAATCAGCCGAGAACTTTCTGGAAAACTCCACGGCCGGTTTTGGCTGCGGCCCCTTGGGGAGGTTTCCTCTGCCCTCAAACGCTGCCTTTCATTAAACACATCCACTTTTATCTTTGAATTTTGTCCGGGCCCTGTTTCCAGGTAAATCCCATTCCATGCCCATTATCCTAATTCCCTTCATTTTCCTAATTCCCTCTTTTTTTATTTTTGCTAATTTTCCGAATCCCCCCTTTTTTTGCCTCTTTTCCTAATTCCTCTTTTTTCCCCACTATTTTCACTCCAGGGCTCCCAGGGTCCGGGAAATGGAGGATCCAGGACGGGTCCAGGATCTGGGAATTGGAGGATCCAGGATCTGGGAATTGGAGGATCCAGGAGGGGTCCAGGATCTGGGAATTGGAGGATCCAGGATCTGGGAATTGGAGGATGCAGGAGGGGTCCAGGATCTGGGAACTGGAGGATCCAGGATCTGGGAATTGGAGGATCCAGGATCTGGGAATTGGAGGATCCCCGTGGATCAGGACCAGCCCTTGACCTCCCTCCTGTGATATTTGGGGAGAAAACACAAAATCCCGAGGCTGGGAAGGGAATTTTTCAGTCCTGGGAGGGAAAAGCGACTCCGACCTCGCCAAAGCTCGGACTCGGTGATTCCAGAGGTCTTTCCCAACCTAAATTCTGGGATTTTGGGAAAGAAATCCTCCATCCGTCGGTGTTTTCAGGGAGGGGAAACGTCCTGATTTCCCAAATATTCCCAATATTCCCGTTCAAGCTGGAAGCAGCTGCCTTGCCACGGAATTCCACAAGGGAAAATCCATTTCTGCTTCCATGGAATCGCAAAAAATTGGGAAAAAAAATCAGTAAAAAAGGGATTTTTTTTTGTCCCGGGATTTTCCTGGGAACTTTTTATTTTCCAAGGAAAAAAAACCCGGGAAATTCATTTGAAAATGAGTTTTTTAACTCAGAAAAAACCGCTGGACTTTCAGCTCCTCTGAGCCCTGGCCACACCTCAGGAATAAATTCAATTTTTAAGTTGATTTACGGAATTTTTGGGAAAGAAAATAGCGGGAAAATAGTTTGGAGAGGATAAATAAAAGGAAAAGGAGGAGAAAATGGGACAAAAATTTCACCTCTGGTAAAAACCAGGCTAGCAGCGGCCTCGGGGGGCACGGGGAGGATTTAATGAGCTGCCTAAAACAGAAAATCCGAAGGTGAAAGAGCTGAATTTGGGGTATTTTTAGCTGCTGAAGGATTAATTTGTTTAATTGGGAAAGGCCAGCGTTCCATAAAAGTGGATCTGGGTCCGTTTTGGGAAGGAATTTGTGGTCCTGGGTGGAAAAAAGAAGGAATTTTGGTTGGGAAGCGGCAGCTGGGGACATTTCTGGGTGGGTTTTGGGGTTTTTTTTTCCCTGTTCTAGGATGGGGGGGATGAGGGATTTGGGATTTGGGATTTGCAGGAGATCCGAAGCGATGGGAAAAATGAGGGTGAGAGGAAATCCAGGAAAAAAATGGGGATTTTTCTCTTTGGTTTTAAGGAAATCCAGGGTGGAAGGGGAATTGTGAGGCGTTTCCAATCCATTCCAAACAATCCCTGAATCCCTGGATCTGGAAAAGTTCCGGTGTGGAACCTCCTCGGATGTGGGAAGTTCGGAAGGGAAACTTTAGGGTCCAACAGGGAAAATTTAATCTGACTCAGCTGGGATTTGGGGAGGGAATGGGATGGAATTCCCAGGGAAGCTCACGTGGGAAAAGTGGGAAAAGAGAAGCTCCAGGGAAACCTCAGAGCTCCGGGAGAGCTGGAGAGGGATTTGGGATCAGGGATGGAATTCCAGGACACAGGGAATGGGTTCAAACTGGGAATGGGGAATTTGGGAATGAATTCCTGGCTGGGAGGGAATGGGATGGAATTCCCAGGGAAGCTCCGTCCCTGGAAGTGCCCAAGTGGGAAAAGAGAAGCTCCAGGGAAACCTCAGAGCTCCGGGAGAGCTGGAGAAGGATTTGGGATTTGGGATGGAATCCCAGGACACAGGGAATGGGTTCAAACTGGAAAAGGGGAATTTGGGAATGAATTCCTGGCTGGGAGGGAATGGGATGGAATTCCCAGGGAAGCCGTGGCTGCTCCATCCCCGGGAGTGTCCAAGGAAAGTGGGAGAAGCTCCAGGGAAACCTTGGAGCTGCTCCCAGTCCCTAAAAAGGGAGCTGGAGAGGGATTCGGGATTTGGGATGGAATTCCAGGACACAGGGAATGGGTTTAAACTGGGAATGGGGAATTTGGGGAAGGAATTCTGGGCTGGGAGGATGGGAATGGAATTCCCAGGGAAGCTCCATCCCTGGAAGTGCCCAAGGAAAGTGGGAGAAGCTCCAGGGAAATCTCAGAGCTCTGGGAGAGCTGGAGAAGGATTTGGGATTTGGGATGAGATCCCAGGACACAGGGAATGGGTTCAAACTGGAAAAGGGGAATTTGGGAAGGAATTCCTGGCTGGGAGGGAATGGGCTGGAATTCCCAGGGAAGCTCCATCCCTGGAAGTGCCCAAGTGGGAAAAGAGAAGCTCCAGGGAAACCTCAGAGCTCCGGGAGAGCTGGAGAGGGATTTGGGATCTGGGATGGAATCCCAGGACACAGGGAATGGGTTTAAACTGGAAAAGGAGAATTTGGGAAGGAATTCCTGGCTGGGAGGGAATGGGATGGAATTCCCAGGGAAGCCGTGGCAGCCCCTGGATCCCCGGGGTGTCCGGGGCGATCCGGGCTGGCAGGAAATCGTTCCCAGCCGGGCTCTGAGTCCCTCCCGACCCCAGAAATCCGCAGGGAATGCCAGAATTCCTTAAACAGCCAGAATTTTATTGCCCACGGAGAACGCAAACAGTTCCCGGCCCTGCTGCATCCAGCCAAGGCTCCCACGCCACAAAAGTTCACCCCAAAAAAAATATAAACCAACAAAAACGGGATTTTTTTCCCCCAAAAAAGTTTTGAGCATTGAAATTCGGGGTTTTTTTGAGCATATTCTGATTTTTTTGGGTGTTTTATTGCTCAAATCTGGGGTTGTGATTGGCCACTCAGGGAGATATGCAGGATTGAAAAGGGGATTTTAAAGATTTTATTTTGAATTTAAATTTATTTTAAATTTATTTTAAATTTATTTTAAATTTAATTTTAAATTTAATTTTAAATTTATTTTAAACTTAAATTTAAATTTATTTTGAATTTATTTTAAATTTTATTTTAAATTTAATTTTAATTTTATTTAAAATTTAATTTTAAATTTATTTTAAATTTATTTTAAATTTATTTTAAATTAATTTTCAATTTATTTTCAATTTATTTTCAATTTATTTTCAATTTATTTTCAATTTTATTTTCAATTTAATTTTCAATTTATTTTAAATTAATTTTAAATTAATTTTAAATTTAATTTTAAATTTAATTTTAAATTAATTTTAAATTAATTTTAAATTTTATTTTAAATTTTATTTTTTATTATTATTTTTTTTTAATTTATAAAATGTTGGGTAGGAAAGAATCCAAAAGGAGAATATTTGGGTTTTTGAAATCTGAAATATTTTGAAATATTTGGGTTTTTTTTTTAAATCTGAATTAAATCAATTTTTCTGGAGCTTTCCCCCCCCTGAGCTTGAGGAGCAGCAAACGGGGTCAAAAATCAGAAATAAAAAATAAAACCAGGTTTTATTTGGGATTGAAAGCAGAGTGAGATGTCAAGAAGAGGGAAAAAAAAATATATTTTATATTGATTTTGGGAAATAAATAAATCTTCACGCTGAGGATGCTGCAGGGTCTTGTAAAAAAATTAAAATAAACCCAAAAAACCTAAAAAAAACCACCCAAAAACCCAACAAAAATCCCAAAATAAATAGGAAAAAATTATTTCACACCAAAGAAAATGAAAAAAAAAACCCTCAAAATAATTTGGATTGAAAGGCAAGAGGAAACCACGGAGGGTTTTGTTGTTTTAAGTTAAAAAAAAATTGAAAACAAAATTAAGATTTGTTCCTGGGGGTGAAAAGGGAGCTCTGGGGCACAGAGGTGTTGTGGGGGTAGATTCGATGCACCAAAAAAAACCAGTTTGGTGAGTTAAAAAAGGGGAAAAAAAAGGAAAAAATGGACATTTTTGATGCACTGAAAAAGGAGATAAAAAGGGAAAAATGCACCAGGTTTTTGGTGCATTGAAAAAGGAAAAGAAAAAGGAAAAAATGCACATTTTTGGTGCATTAAAAAAGGAAAAAATGCACATTTTTGGTGCATTAAAAAAGGAAAAATGCACATTTTTGGTGCATGAAAAAAGGCAAAATGCACATTTTTGGTGCATTAAAGAAGGAAAAAAAGGGGAAAAAAATACAAATGAGGGAAAAAAGGAAAAAGCACCAGGTTTTTGGTGCATTTAAAGGAAAATCAGGAGTGGTTTTGTGGCTTTTCAGCAGCACAGAAAAGAAGGAGCTCCCTTCCCTCAGGTGGAGAAAATGAAAAATTGCAGGAGATTTGAAGATTTACCCCAAAAATTGATCCTTGAAATGCGAATTTTGGCAAAAAATGGGGATTGGAGCAGATCCTTGGTTGGAGAAAGGATCAGAGCCAGGCTAAGCACGGGCGTTAATTCCGGTTTTTGGTGAGGAATCCCATCCCAAAAACAGATTTTTTTTGACCCCAAAATCCTGCTCTGTGGCCGCAGGAATCCCAAAAAAAAAATGTTAATTTAAGGAAAATGGGAAATAAAAGGCATTATCTCGTACAAATGGCCAAAGTCACAAGCGAAAAATAACAAATGGAAACGTCACAGGAACCAGAAATGGCCCAGCTCTACATTTATTGCGGCTACGCTGGGGTTGGAGGTTTCTACTCGCACTAAAATGGGGGGAAAATGTTCATTTTTGTTCATTTTTGTTCGTTTTTGTTCGTTTTTGTTCTGCTCTTGGGATGGGAAGGTGCTGCTCCTGCACGGAAAGGAGGGAATTCCGGGTGGAGCCGAGGAAAAATCCGACCAAAAGCAGCAGAGACACCACGGGAGGGAGGGAAAATGGGCACCGGAGCTGGGGGTCTTCATGGAAGAGAGCTGGAGAGGTGGGAGAGAGAGAAAAGGGGGGAAATGGGGAAAAAAGGGGGAAAATGGGGAAAAAAAGGGGGGAAATAGGGAAAAAAGGGGAGAAAAGGGGGGGAAATGGGGGAGAATGGGGGGGGAAAAGGTGGGGAAGGGGGGAAAAAGTGGGGGAAAAGGGGGAGAAAATGAAAAGAAAAAGGAGAAGAAAAAGGAGAAGAAAAAGGAGAAGAAAAAGGAGAAGAAAAAGGAGAAGAAAAAGGAGAAGAAAAAGGAGAAGAAAAAGGAGAAGAAAAAGGAGAAGAAAAAGGAGAAGAAAAAGGAGAAGGAGAAGAAAAGGAGAAAAAGGAGGAGAAAAAAGGAGAAAAGGGAGGAAAAGGAGGAGGAAAAGGAGGAGGAAAAAGGAGAAGAAAAAGGAGAAAAAAAGGAGAAAAAAAAGGAGAAAAAAAAGCAGAAAAGGGGGGAAAAAGGGGAGAGGAGAAGAAAAAGGAAAAGAGAAAGGAGAAGAAAAGGAGGAGAAAAGGAGAAGGAAAGGAGGAAAAAAGGAGGAGAGAAAAGAAAAGAGGAGGAGAAAAGGAGGAGAAAAGGAGAAAAAAAGGAGAAAAAAAGGAGAAAAAAGGAGGAAAAAAGGAGGAAAAAAGGAGGAAAAAAGGAGGAAAAAAAGGAGAAAAAAAGGAGAAAAAAAGGAGAAAAAAGGAGGAAAAAAGGAGGAAAAAAGGAGGAAAAAAGGAGGAAAAAAGGAGGAAAAAAGGAGGAAAAAAAGGAGGAAAAAAGGAGAAAAAAGGAGGAAAAAAAGGAGAAAAAATGAGAAAAAATAGGAGAGAAAAAAGGAGAAAAGGGGGGAAAAAGGGGGAGAGGAGAAGAAAAAGGAAAAGAGAAAGAAGAGAAGAAAAGGAGGGGAAAAGGAGGAGAAAAGGAGAAGAAAAGGAGAAGAAAAGAAGAAGAAAAGAAGAGGAAAAGAAAGAAAACAGTATTTAAAAAGGAAAAAAAAAAAAGGAGAAAAAAAGAGAAAAGAGGAGATAAAAAAAGTGAGAAAAGAGGAAAAGACAGAGAAAATGGGGAGAAAAAGAGGGAGAAAATCCAGATAAAGAACCAGAAAAAAAAAGAAAGCAGAAAGAAACAAAGAAGTTTGTGAACTTCCAGCAGGGCAAAGTGTTCAATAAATGTTTTCTCTATTTCTAAATATTGGTGAATTTAGCAGAGGTGCCTGAAAAATCAGGTCCAGAGCGATATTTAGGGGAGGTGAGAGCAGGAAAATCAGGAATTTCAGGAATTCCAAAGCTGCTGCAAGGGAGGTTGGGCACCAGGAAAGGCTCCTGAGCCTCAAGACTGGATTAAAACTTGAAATTAAATTAAAATTAGAATTAAATATCTGAATTAAACATCTGAATTAAAAGAAAAAAATCTGAATTAAATCCGTTTTCCTGGAGTTTTCCCCCCTGAGCTTGAGGAGCAGCAAATGGGGTCAAAAACCAGAAAAAGTCAGAAAAATTCAGATTTTGGGGTCACTCAGCACCTCCAGATTTTTAAAAAACAGAAAAACTTGGGAGAAATTCAGATTTTGGGGCGACTCAGCACCTCCAGAGTCTCAAAAATCAGAAAAACTTGGGAGAAATTCAGATTTTGGGGTCACTCAGCACCTCCAGAGTCTCAAAAATCAGAAAAACTTGGGAGAAATTCAGATTTTGGGGTCACTCAGCACCTCCAGAGTCTCAAAAATCAGAAAAACTTGGGGAAAATTCAGATTTTGGGGTCACTCAGCACCTCCAGAGTCTCAAAAATCAGAAAAACTTGGGGAAAATTCAGATTTTGGGGTCACTCAGCACCTCCAGGGCACCTCTGGATGCTCAGAAAGCACAAGAACTTCCAAAAAATCCCCGGGAAAAGGAAGATTTTTGATGTGAAATGGAATTTTGCAGCCTGATTTTGGCACTTACCTATTTATTTGCCCTTTTCTGTCGGTACATTTGGATCATTCTCTGCCGGAAAATATCAAAAGCATCTTCTTGATTTTCTTCCCCTGCCACTCCCAAACCTTCCCCAGCAGAAGTTGCACCCCTGGTGAGGAAAATTTAATAATTACAACACCCTGAAATGCCAAAAATCTGGGTTTTTTTCATGAATTTCGCATCATTTGGTGCCTGGTGAAGTGAATTATTTTCAATTTTGCCCCAAATTTCCCATTAAAAGGTGAATTCCCAGCTGGAAAATGGGATTTTGGAGGGGGGAAATTAGGTGGGAGAGGAAATTCTGGAAGGGGTTTTAAGTTTAGGTTTGGTTTTCTGGTTTCCCTATTAAAATCTTTTATTTTCTCCTAATAAAAACTTCTGTTTTCCCCTATTAAAATCTCCGTTTCTCCTGACAACATCCCTTATTTTCCCCCATTAAAACCCCTTATTTTCCCATATTAAAACCCTTTATTTTCCCCATTAAACCCTCTAATAAAACCCCTTTATTCCCCCATTATAAACCCCTTTATTCCCCAATTAAAACCCCATTATTCCCCCATTAAAAACCCCTATATCCCCCCAATAAAAACCTATTATTTCCCCTACTAAAACCCCTATATCCCCCCAATAAAAACCCCTTTATTCCCTCATTAAAACCCCTATATATCCCCAATAAAAACCCCTATATCCCCCCATTAAAAACCCCTTTATTCTCCTACTAAAACCCCTGTATCCCCCCAATAAAAACCCCTATAATCCCCCAATAAAAACCTGTTATTTCCCTTACTAAAACCCCTTTATTCCCCCAATAAAAACCCCTTTATTCCCCCATTAAAACCCCTATGTATCCCAAATAAAAACCCCTATATCTCCCCAATAAAAACCTGTTATTTCCCCTACTAAAACCCCTATATCCCCCAAATAAAAACCCCTATATATCCCAATAAAAACCCCTATATATCCCCAATAAAAACCCCTTTATCCCCCAAATAAAAACCCCTATATATCCCAATAAAAACCCCTATATATCCCCAATAAAAACCCCTTTATCCCCCAAATAAAAACCCCTATATATCCCAATAAAAAACCCTATATCCCCCAAATAAAAACCCCTTATTTCCCCTACTAAAACCCCTATATCCCCCCAATAAAAACCTCTTTATCCCCCCCAATAAAAACCCCTTATTTCCCCTACTAAAACCCCTATATTCCCCCAATAAAAACCCCTTTATCCCCCCAATAAAAACCCCTTTATCCCCCAATTTAAACCCCTCATTTCCCCCCTATCCCCCCCCGTTCCCGGGGGTCCTTACACGTGCACGGGCTCGCGGATCCCCCGGCCCCTGGAGCCCAGGCCGTGCCCCTCCTGCCAGCCCATCCTCTGCAGCATCTGGAACCCCACGTTCCTGGGGCTCAGCTTCTTCTGCGAGAATTCCAGATCCTTCGGCTTCTGCGGGAATAAAATCCGGGAATTCCTCAGGGAGGGAGCGGGGCCGGGGAAACGGGGGGAAATCAGCGGCCGGGGGGGTGGAAATTGGATTTTTTTCCTTAAATTTTTGGCTTTTTAAGGAGTTTTTTAAAGGAATTTCCCACTTTTTAAGGAGTTTTTTTAAAGGAATTTCCTTTTTTTCAAGGAGTGTTTTTAAAGGAATTTCCTTTTTTTTTTAAGGAGTGTTTTTAAAGGAATTTCCTTTTTTTTAAGGAGTTTTTT